ATGCGGGCACACCCACTGGGACCTTCGGTGGAGCCCCCTATGGGGCAACGAAACGTGTGAGGGGTGTGCCGAAATGGGCGTGCGGGACGCATCCGGGCACACCCACTGGGACCTTCGGTGGAGATCCTTATGGGGCCACGAATCGTGTGAGGGGTGGGCCGAAATGGGCGTGCGGGACGCATGCGGGCACACCCACTGGGACCTTCGGTGGGGCTCCCTATGGGGCCACGAAGCGTGCGAAGGGTGTGCCACAATGGATGTGCGGGACGCATGCGGGCACACCCACTGGGACCTTCGGTGGAGCTCCCTATGGGGCCACGAAGCGTGTGAAAGGTGGGCCGAAATGGGTACGCGGGACGCATGCGGGCACACCCACTGGGACTTCCGGTGGAGCCCCCTATGGGGCCACGAAACGTGTGAGGGGTGTGCCGAAACGGATGTGCGGGACACATGCGGGCACACCCACTGGGACCTTCGGTGGAGCTCCCTATGGGGCCACGAAGCGTGTGAGGGGTGGGCCGAAATTTGAAGAGGAGGAGGAGGAGGAGGAGGAGGAGAGGAGGAGGAGGAGAGGAGAAGGAGAGAAGAGGAGGAGAGGAGACGCGGGCCACCGTCTCTTCAAAACGAGGACCCAACACCACAGGATGGTTGGGGAAAAAAAGGGTTTCCTTCGACGTCTTCCTGGAATTGGGTGGAACCGCGGGATTCGCGGGTTTCCTGGGAGAGGCGTCATTTTTGACCCATCAATCAGGACAGCCTCAGAGGGAACAGAGGAGAACCGAGCAGCCTCTTCCACACGCCGACACAGGGTCGGCGGACTTACACGGTGCCGTGCCCCTCGTACCCTTCCGGGGAGGGCCCGCCAGAGCGAGGAGGCTATCGGAACACCATACTATTTACACGTCTGCGTGCCCCTCCCACCCATTCAGGCAGGCTCCGTCAGAGCGAGGAGGGTATCGAAACACCGTACTGTTTACACGGTTTCGTGCCCCTCCCACCCCTCCTGAGGGGGCCGCGCATGAGCGAGGAGGGCATCGGAACACCATTTGTTTCAAAGATGTCGTGCCCCTCCCACCCCTCCAGGGAGGCCCCGCCAGAGCGAGGAGAGCATCGGAACACCATACTATATGCACGGTTTCGTTCTTTTCCCGCCCCTCCATGGAGGCCCCACCAGAGCGCCATTGAGGCCCTTGACACAGCCCACAGAAGCCCCAAATGCGCCCGTGCACAGATGAACCACCACGCTGCCCACTTGGGCCCCACACGCAGCCCACAGATGCTCCGAGCGCGCCCACAGAGGCCCCGCCACATTGCCCACTGAGGCCCCTGACGCAGCCCACAGACCCCGAGCGCGCCCTGTGACATCCTTATGTGGGGAACTCCGTTCGCATAATCTCAATTTCCGCCCCGCAGGTGTTGCCGCGTGAGTAGAAGGACGAGGGAGGAGGGAACAGGAGGGAGGAAGGAGGGGGAGGGGGGGAGGAGGAGGGCGGAGGGAGCAGGGGGAGGAGGAGGACGGAGGAAGGAGGGAGGAGGGAGGAGGCAGGAGGGGGGAGGAGGCACGAGGCAGGAGGGAGGAGAAGGGAGAGGAAGCAGGAGGAGGAGGAAGAAGGTGGGAGGAGCGAGGAGTGAGGAGAGGAGGGTAGGAGGCATGCGAGGACCAGCGAGGAGGCGGAGGAGGAGGAGGGAGGAGGTGGAGGTGGGAGGATCGGAAGGACGACGAGGAGGAGGGGGAGGAGCGAGGAGGAGAGGTGGAGGACGAACGAGTAGGGGGAGGAAGGGGGCGGAAGGTGAAAGAAGAACGCAGTGCAATGCAATGGAGCGCATTGTGCGACTGCGCCACAGGTAAGAGATGATGCTGGGTCTCAGGTTGTACATCCTAATTAAATGGGGAGGGGGGAGGAGGACGAGGAGCGGGAGGAGGAGGAGGAGGAGGAGGAGGAGGTTGTCAGGACTCCCCAGGGTGAGGCACTTGTCGGCACAGAGGTGGAAGGGGGCCGGATGCGGAAGTCGAAGAGGGAGGAAATCGTCGGCTCAGCGGAGGAGGGGGAGGGTGATGGGTGAGGAGTTTTCCTGCGCGCGCCTGATCGCCCTGGCTCTGTTTGATGGCCGCTTCGGGGGGAGCGAGTGAGGCAGGAGGGAGACGGAGGGGGAGCGGGCGGGCGGGCGGGCGGGCGATCGGGCAGGCGGGGGAGAACGCGGGCGGGTGGGCGTGCGCGCGGGCGGGGCAGGCGGGCGGGCACGCGAGTAGGCGCGCTGGTTGGCGGATGGGCGGGGGTGCGGGCGGGCGGGCAAGAACGCGAGCGGGTGCGCGCGGGCGGGAGGGCGAGGAAGTCTCAGGCGGGAGAGGCTGCGAGGAGCATGCCGCCGCTCCACAGAATCGCCCGGCCTTGCGTTCTCTGGCCTTCCCGCGCGGTCTGTGGGTCTGCCGTGCGCGCTCGGGGCTGCCAGGCGCGGCGGAGTTGGCCTCTCCTGAATGTTCGGGGTTGGCTTCTCTTGGGTTTTCGTGTTTCGGGCGTGGGGAGGGTTTGGGTTTCGCTCCTTCCAGATGCTCGGGTTTCGCTGGAGATTTTCAGGTTGCGCCTCGAAAAGTTTCCGGGTTCGCCTTGCTACTTCGGCGGAAGATCATGGGGGAGGGGTATCGCGAGGAGGAGGCGGAGGAGGAGGAGGAGGAGGGGGAGGAGGACCAGAGTGAGAAAACCGAAGATGCATCAACGGTGTTACAACAGATTCTTCCGTCCCAAGCCCCATCATCATCGTCATTCCCTCCAAGCAGTCTTGTTCGCTGCAAGAAGCGCCCCCCTTGAAAGGTGAGCGCCCCATGGGCCCGATATTCAGGCGGGAATTCCGTTTTGATGGAAATGGTCGTCTATCCTTCGAGCCATACGGAATGCGACAAGGTGTCTCTTGAAGGTTCAAGGACGTGCCCAGCGACAGCCCGTCGTTGAAAATAAACCGCCCTGCGTCCGTCTAGCATTTGCACACGCATCGCTGTTGGCCATTGTGTAAGTGTTACGCGGTTTCAGACGAGAGCCCCGGTTTGAGAAGGAGCCGCCCTCCGTCCGTGGATCAGTTACGCATTGCAGCTTTGTTAGCCGCCGAGTTCAAGGGCGTGTCAAGCGAGAGCGGCATGCTGCAAACGAGCCGGCCTTCATCTGTTTGTATTCGCTGGCAGTTCTCAGAACGGAGATGTGTGGCGCATGTGCGGTAACCACATGTTGAATACGTCAAATTTTCATATTTGTATCTTTTGGAAGCTTTCAGGAATCAGGTTCGTGGCGCTAAGACGAGAGCCACATTTCAGAACGCGACGGGCCTTCTATCGCTAGAGATGTCAGAAGCTGTTAAGAATGCGCGCGACGCTAAGGCAGGAGTTACACTTTGAAACCGACAGTTTTCCATTCGTGTAAGCGTTGGACCTTCCGAGCATCGGGATATTAAGTTGTTGGGAAGTATCAGGCGAGGCCCCCAGCCCAAGCTTGGTGCGGCAAGGAGAAGCTGTTTAAACGAATATTGATGGATGATGGGGAGGAGAAGGAGGAGGAGGAGGAGGAATAGGAAACTAAAATGGCGGCTCAGAACCAGAAACTACGATGGCCAGAGCTCGCTGCCACGGTGCTGGCGCGCCATCGCGTCTCGGGAACAACCCTTTATCGTGCAGGAATGTTCGTGCCCGGTGGGCGTGAGGCCGTTACAGGACACATGTTGATGATTCTCATCACTCGTAGGTCAAACAGAATATCATCCCAGCGTTCCACGGTATGGATTGGGTGGGCAGAATCGGCCTCCGCGGCCCGCCGCGGACCTGCGCAAGCTCGCAGTGTCGCCACGGCAGATCGAGGGAGGGGCTGCCACCAGAAACGTCTTTGTTGGCACCACAGCCAAGCAAGGCTCGCACCGCCATCTGCTGGCCGCGCACCCCGCGACCCGCCCGCGGCCAGCCTGCGACCTGTCTGCAAGCTTCCCACGCACTGGCGAGGCTATAAAAGTCGGCGGCCAAATGGCGGGCTCGTCCTCAGGTGCGGAACCGCTGCCTTGAAAGCCCCCGCGCGATCTGCACGCGACTTTCCTGCGACCTGCAGGCAACACGACTGCCACGTGTGGGCTCTTCGATATTCGCACGCGTGCGAACCTCTGGGCGACCCACACTGCGGCCCGCCCGCGACCCGCCCACAGCAAATGCCGCCTGCCTGCCTGCCTGCCTGCCTGGAACATCGGCTCTGCTCCATTCACCGACGTAAGCTGGCCGAGCTGAGCACTGGGCGAGGAGCCCTGGGCGGTTCCACGCGCACCTCCAGGCAGGGCCCCCAAATATCATTCAGAAGCGTGGGCTTGGGTGGGTGGGTTTTCGGGCGTCATGGGCCGCCATCTTAGTTTCTTGTTCCTCCTCCGCCTCCTCCTCCCCATGCTCACCTGTTCCTTCTTTGCCCCTTCCCCCCTCATCACCCCACTTCTTCCATCATTCCTCGTCCCCTCTCTCCTTATCCTCACATCGTCATCACTTCCATTATCCTCGTCATCATCGTCATTACCACGTCTCCTCCCCCGTCTTCCCTCTCCTCCAGCATCCGCCTCCTGCTTCTCCTCCCTCGTCCGTCCCCGTATCCTCCATCCTTCCCTCCCTCTCCTCCGTAGCCTCCTCCTTCTCCCTCTCCTCGGCCAAAACGGGGGTCGTGAGAAGGCGCGGACTAGGAGGAGGACGCGGACAAGCACGACGGTGAAGGCGACGAAGTTCAAGAAGAAGACAACCGAAGCGACGACGACGAAGACGAAGACGACGACGAGCATGACGACGACGACGCCGTCGCCTTGGCCGCCGCCGTCACTGCCGTCGCCATTCACTCGTGGGCGTTGCCGCCGCCGTCGCCGCCGTCGTCGTCGTCGTCGTGGTCGTGGTCGTGGTCATCGTGGTCGTAGTCGTCGTGGTCGCGGTCGCCGTGGTCGCCGTCGAAGCGAGGGAGGGAGGGAGGGAGGGCCTTACGCGCGCGCGCGAGCAGTAGGCGCTGGAGCGGCTCGGCCAGCTGCGGGGCCGGCTCGCGGCCCGGCCAGTCGCGGCGCCCCCGTCGGAGGCCCCGCCCACGCTCGCCCCGCTCCTCCGCCGCCGTGGCACATTTGCCCCAGGGGCTGTGGCGGAGGCTTGCCCTGACCTGGGACGTTCGAGCCTCCCACAGGTTCCCATAGGTTTTGCAGCCTCGGGATGCTTTCCAGTAGTTGCGCCTGGCCAAGAGCGCCCCTGGGTGGCCGAATCGTTGGGTAAGTTATGTTCCAGCCTGTGGTGGTAGACCCTCCATTTTTTCATATTTTGCCCCGACAGGATGCGAACTGAGCTTGCCACCAGCGGAGGTTCCCAGGGCGCGTGCAGTGCAGTAGAGATTCGGCGACCATGGTGCACCCAGAGTCGTGGTGTGATCGCCTCTCTGCTGCAACAAAGGGGCTGATGTAGCAAGGCCGTCCAGACACATGTGGGTAAATTGTGTTCGGGTTTGTGTTGTTTTCTGTGTGTATACGCATATACACATTCTATATATATATATATAGCCGCCATACTGGTTCAGAAAGCCGGCCAGGCGGCCAAAGCGGTGCCCATGCGGCACGTCCGACCCACCTACCAAGGCATTCACACGAGCTGCAGGTGGCCACATGGGCGATGAGGACCGCCTTGCTGGCGGCGATCACCCAGGGCGTGGCTGCGCAGACAGCGGAGACAGAGGCCTCGACAGTTCGACGGGCTTCCTGGAGCCTTCTGCACTACAATCCGCTGACGGCGCGAGAGACGGAGAGGCTGGACGACATTGAGACGGCCTGCGAGGGCTACGAATTCGTCGGCCTGATCGGCACACAGCGTCGGTGCGACCTCCCAATTAGCAACAACGAGCGGGGGAGTGCTGGCGTATCGAGAGTGGATGGAAACGAGCCAGCTTCAGCAACAAGTTTGCAGGTGTGCTTTTCATCTTCGGCAGTAAGTTCAAACCGCGACACCTGAGACGGGTGATGGCGGCACCTGACCAGTGTGCAGGACGGGGCTTAGCAGCGCGACTGATTTCGACGCAGTTCGACTTCGCGCTGGTAGGCCGCTACGTGCCGCCGCGACCGACCAGGTTAGACACCCGATCGACATATGAGAAGTGCGTGGACACGCTGACGGATTGGCTGCAAGAGGTCCTCCAACAGACCCCAAGCCAAAGCTCTCCCATCATATGCCTGGACCTCAACGACGGCATGGGCCAAGCAGCCACGGAGAACGGCAAGGGGGCAGAATTCAAGGAAAGCTCGGCTATGCACTGACCAGGGGCGCGTAGGGAACACGATGCTCGACGACGATTCAGAGAGATCCTGGAAGGACATCACATGGTGGCTACCACAATGCAGAAGGCGGACGACACGCGGCACTGCAACTGTGATAACTCTTCGTTGGTGGACTATATCTGCATACCGACGGCCCTGGCGAAGTGGGAGACGAGCTGCGGACCGTTGGCGAGGCTCGGCAGAGCAATGCAGAAGATGCCCAGCAAACCGCGGCGCGATCATCTACCAGTCCACGTTAACTTCAGCATGCCTTCTATCAGCGAGCAGAGGACACAGGACAACACTCCGAAGTGGAATATTGATACCACGACGCAGGCGTACACGGGCACGGACATCGAGCGCAAGCAGGCCTTCATCGAGGACATGGGGGCCACGCTGGACCAGAGCTGGGGCGATTTATTGGACCTGTCAAACCGCACGTCGGCGGATTACCTCTTTGAGAAAGCGGGGCATCTTCTGATTGAGGTTGGACAACAGTACTTTTCACGAGAACCTGAGCGAGATGAACGCTATCAGGCTTTAAGGGAGAGACGCATGATTTTATCCAAAACTCGCCGAGGCTTCAGGCTTCGACACGACGAAGGATCTGAGATGGAAGAACAGTGGTGGAGGGATTTTTTTCTCATACAATGAAAAAGCTATCGGCTTACATGAAAAATGAACGCGATATATAGTGGAAAGCTTATCAAGATGAACTGTTGGATCAGATTTGGGACTCTTGGCGCGCCCGCAACATGGCGGAGGCGCACAGACTCACACGAGGAGTGGCTAACACAAAGTACGGCGTAAAGAAGCGGCATTTCTTAACAGTAAAAGCGATGGGACTTACATCTGAAAAATGGACAGAGCACTGGTCACGAGCTGGACCAGACGGAGGCACGCAGGCTACACAGATGCAGGATTGGGATCAATGGCGCAATGAACGGCAACCACAGGGCGCTGAGCCAGCAGTACTAAATGAAAACCTTCGACGGGCAACTGTTCGAGATTTTCGCCGGCTGGAGCGCCGGGTAAAAAAAAGGCCCAAAACAGGAAGACACAACCACCCTGGGCGGCCCCATTGGAGCTCCTGGCCACCCTTCTGGATCCGAATCCTGAGGCCCACCCAAAGAAGGGACACCGAGGTCTCGGCGCGCCTGAGGACCCCACGAGCGCCCTTCTTTTTAGAGCTGTCTTGGAGGACGGTCTGCTCAGAATTAGGCAATCAGGTAGGACCCCCAGCGACTGGCACCTCAGCCAGGGAATCACCCTCCCGAAAATCCAGAGAGGCTCGCGCTGCGGGGGGGGCAGCCGAAGGCACTAGGGCGGTGCACCTGCTGGCCCCCTTAGGCAAAGGATGGTGCGCTGCACAGAGTGTGGCGCCAAAAATGCAGGCACAGATGCACGGTTTTTCTTGAGGGCCGCTCAAAGGAAGCGGCAATCGCGGTCGCGCAATGCACGACGTGGCGCGCGCGTAGACAGGGACGCACGAGTATCACATACCTGCACGATTTAAGTAATGCAGTCGGCAGCGTCTCCTGGGATGAGTTTGATTCCGCCCAGTCTGAGCTGATGCTGGAAGAGCTTGAACAATTCGGGCGCCAGAGATACCACGATGCCGCGGTACAGTTGCCAGGCGAGGAAGGCATTGTGACGTTTCGGATCGGCTGTGGGGCATTTATGGGGGCCCATGCGTTGTGCGTTTGTTGCTCCTTGCCTTCCAGAGGAGCGTCAACATCTGGCAACATCAAATGAAGCAGTCTGGCAGCGATGTAGGAAACTGTATTGCAGAGAGCGCTTTTACCAACAGGGACCTTGATCTTTCGCCGTGTCAATGCGCAGATGACTTGTCAAAATCTTTAGTCGCCGAAGACACTGAATCTTTGGCACCCCTCGCCCAACGAAGCTTTCTGGAGAACAGCATTCTGGATCGCGCGCTGGGGACTATAGGTTGCAGGCAGAATCGGGACAAACAGGAACTCCCCCCTGCCTTCGCTGGGCGCGGCTCGACGAATGATGCTCGGGATCTTCGGTCTGGGGGGGGGTCTGTCTGCCAGCTAAATTTAAACCTCGCGCCCGATATTCAGGGGCACAATTGCACATGAACGGTAAGCTCGGGGGGGGAGTTTATACACAAACCGGCGAAAGACCGTAGAACCGGCTTATTTTGCATTTGGTAGATTGTGGAGTTTGAAGCGCACGCCGTGGAAGGTCCGCCAATGCCTGCTCATCTGCTGCGCACAAAACGCAGCGCTGCCAGGCAACGAGACCTTCTGTCTCACGGATGCCAGCTGGCAGGAGCTAGACAAGCTCTTGGCCAGGTTCGCACGCAGGGCGACGCGCGGAGATGCTCACTCGACCGTGACAACGGCGGAGGGCGAGCAAAATCACAAACATATGTCGACGGCCGAGGTTTTGAAACTGGGGTGGGGGGGGGGGGGTGGGGGGGGGGGGGGGGGGGGGGGGGGGGGGGGGGGGGGGGGGGAAGGGAAGGGGGGGGGCTACCAAGCTGGAGGCGCGAGCACGACGACATAAGAGACTCCAGCGAATAGCGAGCAGGCCCCATAATCACGATCATGAGCTCACTGCCATTTTCGGGCAGTAAGGTATGAGGCGATTGAGGGGGCGACCTGAAGATAGGGGGCCAGGTGAACCCATGGGCCAGGAGGGTGAAGGAGGACATCTTGGAGGGGTTGGAGGCACTTGGGCGCGACACGACGCGGTTAAAGGAGGAGTCAGAGGGAGGCTTCTTGAGGCTTTTCAGAGACGCGGACCTGGCCGAGGCGTTCGGGGCACTGGACTTCTCTCGTCTGCGTGAAGGAGCCTACGCATGTGCGATCCCCCCTCCAGGCTGGGCCCCCTCCCAGGCCCCCGCCGTTGATTCGAATGCCGAAGCCGAGAAAAAGGAGGATCCGACCTGGGCATGTGGATGCGAAAATGAAAACGGAAGCCTGTGCACGGACATATTCACATCATTCAAGTCGGTAAACCAACACAGGCTTCAGAAACACGGGCAGCGTGATCCCTGGATTTGCACGGCGATAACAAATACCTGCCCCTGGCGTCTGGGAGCGCACGGCTCTGCAGTGGCGGCGCAGAAGCACGCGGCCCTTCGTGTAAAACGAGGCGGAAACTGCAAGTGCAGATCTCCTTACATGGGAGGACGGTCGCATCCTGATCTTCGCGCCTGCCATATCTGTAGCCGCGAATGCTCGAGCTTTGAGGGGCTCCAGCTACGCCTGCAGGGATGCGCGCCCCCACTCGATCAGCTACGACGGGACGAACAACATGGAGCTGGAGCCCGCCAAGTTGGCGCTCGCGCACAAGCAGGTCGACGTGGAGGGCGAGGACGCCATGGAGAAGAAGCAGCACCGCGCCGTCGAGGCGGTGATGCAGGGGGGGGCAGGGACGACAACGTTCTCGCTCGCCTCGTCGCCGCCCTCGCTAGGCTGGCGCTAAACAACGCAGCAGAACTACGCGACATCGCTGGCATAGTATTCATCTGCCTGCTGCTGCCCATCGACGGCGTTGTCGCAGTGGCCACGAAGGCCGCAGGAGCGACCTACCACGAGGCGGGTCAAGGCGCTCAAAGACAAGAACGACGAGAAGGGCCTCGAAGAGCTGGGCCCACCGTACGCGCACATCTCCATGGCCATGGTGATGGGCATCAACCAGGAGGCGTGCGAGCAGTGGACGGAAGACCTCATCCTCGCGTTCTGGACGGCACACAGCAAGGACAAGAGCGCGATGGAGGTGCAAGCAGCAGCCATGAACTGCAAGTGCA